GAATTAGTTAGGAATATCGGTCTGTTAACCCCGTAAATCCCGCAGAACCGATCCGTGGGAGGCGCCAAAAGCCCTTAGTAATTATCCGAACGTCCATCAGTTCGGTTCAGTTCATTTAAATTATTTATTATCTGAGCTTTGTTGAATTAAAATGTTAGGAAATATTAATTTAGATTTTGGGATAGTTACACCTTTGATATGTCCGAATTAATTCGGTGGCCCCCTCGAGGTTTACATCTCTGAGGAGAAAACATCTCCACCAATCAGAGCGCAGCTCGGTTGGTCGGAAGCCTCGCGGGCCCGGTGTGTCGCGGCACTGACCTCCGAAATCAGTTCCGCGTTGACCGTCATCAACTATTCGTCACGTGTGAATTTCTGTGTGTGCTCACACAACGTAATTGTTCCATTCGGATTATTGTGCCTTTCGGAGAAGCTGTAAGGATCCAGGATGGTCCGAAAAGGTAAGACGACCATTAAACATGGAAAAACAGTGAGTTTTCTGGAATTTTTCCCCTAATTTCGAGCCATTTCCGGATAGCGTCATTTTCCCCTTTATGGTGGTATCCCTCGCGTGGCCCTCAGCCACGTGCAGTGGTTGATCACCCCTCTAGTAGTATTTAGTGGCCCTGATTGCGCATTTTTTTGGCATTTTGTTGGGCATTATCCCTTATCCTGGATTTTTATCCACGTGTCCTTCCGATTTTTGGATCGGCGATTCCACCCAAATCGGGTCGGTAAAGAGTTCTCGCGCCTTCCGGATTATCCCGGTCATCTTTGAGATGATTTTCGGGTTCAGTGAGTGTGTTTGGTCGGTAGTGGAATTCCTGCGTCTTTTCCCAGTCAAAATCTGATGATTTTCGACTTGGGCTATTTGCTTCTCCCTCGCTACTAGGGTGAGGAGTATCTCTATTCCACCCTACGTAAAAATTGCGTAGAGTTTCTCCCCTCGCGGCACCCCGCTGACGCGCCTACGAGTGGTGGCTCTCGCTTCCCGTAAGTGTTCCGTCGTTTAAATTTCCCTCCGGATGTAAATTAATCCGGAGTAGTTCCCAATGATCTCAAAATTACAATTTTGGTTTCATGGACTTCGCGAGACCTTCCCGAGCTAGTTGGCTTTGGTTTTTTGAAAATTGACTCTACCGATTTTCCGCTACGGTGAGTTTAGTTTTAGTTAATTTTTATTTCCTTCTGCCATACGTTATGCGTATACTGGTGAGTTCATTTCCTCGCTTTCTCACTCTCACGGGGATTCGCATACCTTTCCCCTAATTTCTCGGTATTCTCGAGTATTTCGAGATTAATCGATATTTTTTTTTATATTAGCGTGTGAGGAATTTGGTGACCTCACTTGTGGCCGAGTTAATCGATGAATTTTTATTTTTTGTATTATATAGTAAAATTTAAATTATCATTTCCGATTTATTATTGGCCATTTAATCAGTCATTGTTATGAATATTTTTTTTTTATTGTTGGTGAGATCAATGCGAAGAGAAAATCATGTAAATTAATAGTTTTTACAAATTTCAATAGTGAAACACGTAAGGACGATGTCGATTTCTTCTTTTTTGTAGTGTTGACCACCCAATACCCGTCTCCACCTGAAATCCACCCCTCTCTCTACAACCTAGCACACTGAGCGAACCAAGGACCGTTACCTTCCCCCAGAAATCTAGTTTTCTCCCTTTTTGAGTATGTTTTTTTAAGGTTTTTGAATTAGTTAGAATTTATTTTTGTAGACTCCTCCGGTTTGGTGATTCCAGTTAAAGATCACCTGGCGCCCATAGATTTTTACATTTTTGAGTTTAATTAGATTCAGGGGAAGAAGGGCGAAGGTAATAGGCATTTTTAACCCCCATAAAAAATGTCACGTTACAGTCTTTTCAAAAATATGTTTTATTTATTCTCATAATATCCATATGGGAGAGTATCTATCGTATCAAGCAGAATAACTCTCTTATCATCCCCACAATTCAGAGCTAATTTTCTCTGTTTAACAGTGTAAACTTCATATTTTTTACTTTGAATTAAATACTGAGAATTTACAACATTTCTGTTTGAAAAAAGACACTTTTTGTAATCATCAAACGTAATTGATCTTATCGTTGATCCTTTCAGCCCTTTAGCCTTCTTTTTCTCCCTAGCTCCACCCAAAATCTTGAAAGTGTAAAGTTTTGCTCGGAAACCTACAAACTCAGTCATAATTTTACCATTACACTCATCTTTCATGAGACCCAAATTTTTTTATTCACTCTAGGCATTCAATATACATTGTCTTCTGGATAATCAGAAGTATCGAACTTGGCAATATCTTCCTTCATACATTCATGAATATTAGGCACAGTGAAGTGATACAACAGGCTATCAGTGTCTGTATATATCAATTTCGCACGCTCACCAAACACACGGTTCACATAATTGTAATAGAAATCGTAAATAAAATTTTTTGAGAAATCCAAAATAGCAAAACCAATGAAGATTGGTTTATTGAACATAATCTTCGTGCGATTCAATTGAACAATAACCAAATCATACTCATCATCAAATATAAGACTGCTATGGAAGTTCGGTTGAGCGATGCAAGCCTTCGCACCCCATCTCCCGCGCCATCCAGAGATCAGTTTGACATCGCGATGTTTTCTCACGTTCTCCATCGTCTTTCCAAGCACTGCATTGTTCATGAGTTTGAAGAAATTTTTCTCAAACTCATTAGATGATTGTTTTCTCTTTTCTGTGTTGAGATCAATGTATGGTTTCAACCAGGCTGCTTGGTTGAACTTCAAGAGATGATGAATTGTGATTACTTTCATACCCAAGTTCAAACACTGTTGTAGATTTCTATAATGTATTACATAAGCTTTTTTCGAATGGAGTGTTGTTATCAGCTTCGAACTTTTGCGACCTTGTGGTATAAAATGCTCAGGAGCCAGAGGAAGGTGTTTATGAAGATCATGTAGCTCGATAGGGTAGTCCAAATCCACTTCCAGGATGTATCCAACAGGATGATCATCAGGAACAGTCATTACATCGAAGCCCTCTGGATCAGCCCATTCAAATGATCCATACGGTATGTATTGACTCAGCGCTGCACCATAAAGATTATGAACGTCATAGTACATCAAGACTCATCTTGATGCTCTTCAAAATCATCCATGCAGCTATTGTTGGCTTTTGCATAACGATTAGTACACTGTGCAATACCACCTCGGATACCATTTTCAATAAATAGCAGTTTTTCCACATCAGTGAAAAGTTCTATGTCAACACTAGTATGCTTCAACATGGCATCAAAAGCAAGTCGAGATGCAGTATAATAATGCAGGGGATCCAGTTTATAAACTGAAAAACAACTCCTCCGGAAATTCTCGAAAATGTCTGCTAAGAGTAACACGTCAGTCTTCAGATACAAATCAGAGTATTCCCCTAGAGTTGAGATATTGAATGTCTCCCACACTAGACATGCATGTGCATAATCTTCCTCTGAAACTCCCTGCTTATTCAGTGTTGAATAAAAATCCTCTCTTGCAGGTAAACGAGGACTGTCAAGTTTCATCCAATTGTCCATGTACTTGTATGGAAATACACCTTTCCTTGTCAATAAGTTGAATTTCTCCCCATCATCATCATCATCTTCATGAACGTAATTGGCTTTTATAATTTTTTTATCAGCATCAGTCAGATATGAAGCAAGCTTTTCAAGACTACTCGCCATGAATCTGAATCAGAGATCGGCAATAATATTATTTTCAATAATATTTGCATCAAGATTATATATTATTTAATTAATCAGTAATAACGGCTTAATATTTTCCATTATATTATCAATGAATAATGAGGAATTCCAATTTTTTCAATACCGTATCAATGAGTAATTATATTTGACAATTTTCCATTTTTTTATTAACCAATAATTATACTAGAAATTTTTGACTACTTAAGTAATTAATAATGGAATCTAGAATATTTTAATTAATCAATTAATGGGTAATATCGATTGATAATATTTTAATTAAAATATCAATGAAAAACTATGTCGAAAATTTTTCCATTATGATAATAATGAAAAATGGAAAATTAATTTTTTTCAATACTTATGTAATCGATAATGGAAGCGGAACTATTTTCATTACTCGATTAATGAATAATATTGATCGCTAAATTTCGATTAAATTATCAATGAAAAAACGTAAATTTTTTCAATATGATAATAATTAATAACGTAATTTTTTTTTCCAATACTGATCTAATCAATAATGAAAGCGGAAATATCATCGTTACTCGATTAATGAGTAATATTGTTCGCGAATATTTCAAGTCAGCTTTCAATGAAAAATCATGTGAAAAAAAATTTTCATTATGATAATAATCAATAATGGAAAATTCATTTTTTAAAAATACTTATCTAATGGATAATGAAAGCAGAAATATTTTCATTACTAGATTATGATTATAATTCGATTCTTACAACATATTGACCATTATAGAAGTTTTTTCTTCAATTAGTGATGAAATCAACAATTAATTCGATTATTCATGCATCGTTTTATGATAGAAACGAGTTTCCATCCTTTGATCGAATGAACTTTCGAGTTTATCTATTTTTTTGGGATTCTCATCGCTCATAATTTACGAGTCCAATATTTAAAACAGAAAACACCTTCATATCAAAATATCGATAGACAACACTTTGTTGGAAACACACCCGAATGTCAATACGCGTGACCATCTCCCCGAATTTGTAAACAACACTGAAATTCAGAGAGTTGTCTCCTTAGTCGCGTATCGATAGTGCTACGGAGCACTTGGCAAGTATTCAAGGATTGAGTTAATTGTGTCGTGATTAATATAGATGATTTTCACATTGATATGACCGGTTGGTTGGTGAGTATCTTACGATTATTTTTTTACGGTTACTATTGAAATTATGTGGTTGATAGCATTAATTTATACTCTTTTTTCCTAGCCATCATAATGTGAATATTGTGGAAAGACCTTACTTGAAATGGATGAATACCCAACGCACTTATGTTTCACGGATCTGAATCTCGACGTGAATGAGATTCGTATTGATGCCACCGGTATATCGAGAATCGGTATGTATTGTTTTTATCCCCTATTTATTTTTTACTTCCGAACGAAAACTTTGTAAACAGTGGATGCAATGATTCTCTAATTTGGCATGGAAATGACTTAGAATGTCCTACTTTGAATGTGTGCGGATTTCCTTGAATGTTTTTTTAAATCCTTGCAATAATACCAGCAGAGTGATCGCTAGAAATCTGAATTCTAGCCCATAACTGGTATTGTTGAGATGCACTTCTGTACAAAATTTCAGCTCAATGAAAAAGAAAATCAGAGATAAAATTAATCTCGAGAAAAAAAGCAAGATAGGAAATTCAATTTTATTACGATTCTAGCTCTCACGATATTACAAGTTGGTGGGGGACATTAGATGAGTACTTTTTCAGATATATAAGTTTGTGTATAAAACTATCCCATTCAATATCTTAAAAAGTACTGAACTGATTCCAATTTTTCTCGTTTCAAAAAGATTGAGATAATGAGTATTAAATTTTGACTACTAGTTATTATTACCGAGTCACTCTCCCGTGTGAAAGTTTACGTCAATCTTTCCAATAGTCCCTGGAGAAAAAAAATTATCAAAAAATCTCCGTTTCCAAAAACTGGTCCATCGGTATATCCATCATTAATTTTCACATGAGGAAAACTGAAAAAGTCGTATAACATCCATTTGGAGGCACAATACCAATCGAATTATTAGGAATGAAAAGCAAAGGAGCGAAAACAACGTGCTAACTAACGGTCGCATGTAATCGGTCGCACTTATTGTTTATCCTTATATTTTCAAATTTCATAGTGTTGTACTATAAAATGATTTATATTTCGATCGTTCCAGTCAGCGTGAATCCAGATGATACTACTAGGCCATTTACCCCATCATACATAGGTATGAGACCTTCAATCTTCGACAAAAGCCTTATCTCAGAGGTAGAAAAGAGGCCCTGCTTATATAAACCCATCCTGTTAATTGCTGAGAGATCAGTCTCAAAGCGTGAAGAGATTTGGAGACAGATCACAGAATCGAGCCCAGGTGAGAATGAAATTATTAATTTTTCTCGTAATATAATTGCTAATAAACTGTCGAGTATCATCAATGATATTCACCATCGTCTCCTATGCTTCAAACTTAGGGAATCCGAATTTATTGCTCTGCGGATTCCATGGTTATCAAACTTGTATGTAACTCTCTTCTCTATTCTTCTATTTCTCTATTAGTCTCTTCTATCATTTAAGTACCATTTAATTAAAAAAAATTGTCTTTCTATTCTCTTTCCCCAAGCATGTGAATTAAAATGTTATCTTTTCATTTTTCTAGGTTCTTTCTCTGTCGATGAGGTCCACGCTCGCTGGATCTATCTGAGGACAATTTATCTACGGAACAGAGGGCACATGAATACTCCAATTGGCACAGGATCTGGGGTAGAGGCCAAGAGTTCTCAGTTTTGTTATTATGATTCAATGAAGTTTCTGGATGACTTTGAGGAAAAAGCAGTGTAAGAATAAGTTCATAAAATATGTACACTGTTAGAATTTATTTGAAATTTAAGTCCCAGCTTTATTTCGATTCTTAATGCTGTGAAGTTAAATTTGAACTGAAATTAATCCATCCCTAGACTTTCCGATTCATCTTGGCAATTCAACAAAATAAAGTTTTTTTATGGTGAGCCAACATTAATATTTCAAAAACAGCTTGAATTATTGAATTCATTATAAAAATGGAAAATTACATTTAATTAAATCTTGTATAGATTAAGATGTTGGAACAATAGTCGTCTGAATATCAAACTGGAAATTGGAATTTCAGGGAATGTTCGCTAAATTAATTGATTCATCAATAACAACATGTATGAAAATTTCATATGAATTATCACGTGCGAAAATTTCATATGAATTACTTGGAATTTCAATGGTAATTTTCTAATAGTGTAATGTACGCGGATGTAATTTTCATAGAAATTAATCATTATTTCAGGACTGTGGAGGCTGAGAGAGAATTTCCATCAACTGCTGGGCAGAAACGGAAGATTTGCTTTGGGGACAGCAGGAAAATCAAAAGTAATTTCGATATATTTTTTATTTTTTGTTATCTAGGAATTATGATCACTACTTTCATAATCTGAATGAATGTTTTTTTATCTTTATTGAATATTGTTCATGCGAACATAGGAGCCAAATGGGAAGTGTGCCCAGCTGGAGCATCTTCCCCCAAACCCACAGGATCATCAGTAAAAACTGACAATGTCGATGCATTCCTCGCTCACCTGAGGGATGAAATGCTGAAGGTATCACCAGCCGACAGGGCTGAAGCCCAATTTGCTATAATATCCTTGATTAATTCGACGAATTCTGGACAGCATTAAAACGAAACATCTATAACTTGAACAATCGTAAAAGAATAAGTATAAAGCTGAATGGAAAATACATTGAGTTAATATGATATCGTATTGAGTTCATATAAAATTTTCCACTCAATTTCATGGAGAATATTATTTCAAACATTGACATTTGACAGAGGAAATTTAGTAGAGAATCCTAACGCTTTCCCTAAGAAATTCTATTGGACTTCGATTGAGAATCTGCTAGGAATCTATGGGAATATTATATTTCTCACCAAGGGAGGAAAAGTAGACAAGTCTGAGTAGATCTGAGATCTTGATCTGAGTAGATCAAGTCCGAGCCGAAGGCGAGGGTGGTAAGCACGTGGGGAATGCTTGTCTGATTATCCTCCCGAGGGTTGAATACGATTTTTCTATCGAAATGCGGCGAAAGTGACAATTCTAACCGAGCGAAGCGAGGTTAGAATGCTCACTTTCGGCGCATGTAGGCAGAAACTTCTGTTTTTTCTCCGATTTTGATTTCTGCACTCTTTCTACGCGTAATTTTATATGAAAATTCGTAGAAATATTTAACAGGAAAAAAATTCAAAAGATTCTGTTTTTTCTATACAATCTATCCTGTTGATATTTTCTGTATAAGAAACCCTGGGCATACCCAGTTTTATAATTATTTTTCACTGCATTCTCCTTTCTTTTGTTTAACATTACCACTAAAAATGAAAAGAGTTTTGCTCATGGAATTAAATTTAAGAAAATATCAACAGAAAAAATTAAATGTAAAAATCGGAATCTATCAATTCCTTCCTATGGAATATTCTCCACGATAATTTTGTATGAATACCACGAGCAGAAAAAAAAATTCTATCGATTATTAATACAATTTCAATAGAATTTTTCAACGAATACGCTAAGATTTACTCTTGAATTTTTCCATATCTCAAGCCATTCATATGTACTATTCATTGATATCATCAAGAAAAAGTTGATAAAGTAACATGTATTATCATTTGTGAGTTCATAAAAAATGACAATAATAAAGTACAACTGAAATGGTTATTATCGAATTATCTTTTCGCTTCGCTTTCAACGTTGGGTGCCGCATTGCCTAGGTATTTCATTAATAGTAAAAAATAGTGATAATACAAAAATTACTAGTAGAATCTTTTTCATATAAACAATGAACGGTTTGAATGTATTGCAAATGACTGATTCGAGACTGTTTGAATGACTTTTTTTTCATTTGAAAAAAAAACAGAATAATGATAATTTACCGATAATCTATTTCTTGGTTGATTCGTAAAATTTTGAAATTTGGAAGTCAACTCCGTCTTAATTAGTCGCAACTCCACCGAGTACCAACCGTGATCACGAGATGTTTTATCATTCCGTCACTCAGAAATTACAAAAATGACAATCGGCATGACGACAATTGCATTTCGATCAAGTCTATTCCCCACACGTTCTCGGATGTGAGATTATCTTCAAAGTGGAAGATTGGGGAAAGAAATTCTGGGGGTCATTTTTTACTCATAATACTGCAGAACTTCAATTATTGCATGTTCCCGATGAGTTTGGCGAGTGATTTTTCTGAAAATTTGCAAATATTATCTGTCGCTATAGGCTAATGGGGTTAGTGGACAATTATTCAAAAAAACATCGATATAATATTCATCGGGAGTCTGAGAATAGTACATTACGTAACTAGTGCGGAAATGATACCGCCTGCTGTCCGCACGTGTTGCGTATACTATTTTATATGATAANGGAGGCGAAGCCCCCCCCCCCCACCGAAGAAAAAAGATCACATTTATTTAAAAAAGTAATCATAAAAAAGTGTGATTGAAAAATTTCATTTTCGTTACTGAATTCTCAATGACTTATCACTAATTTCTAGAAATCAATCACCATATTTCAGTGAAGCTTCGATGAATTCTGTGAAATGTCTCTGAAAATCAAAAATAATTTTTCTCTGTGTTTCCTTGACATTATTTTGATCATTAGAATTCAATAAAGCCCTTAAGTTATAGTATTTGATCGAAGAAGGAGTTTTTTTGCGTGCCTACAACTGCTTCATTGGAGAATATTTCATTTCCACTTTCTTTAAATATCACATCACCAATCAACTCCTCCTCATCAGTAAATAAATTCTCCTCACTCCCTAACTCTTCATCACTATCAGGAATTATACGATTTGGGCTCATTTTATCTGCTTCGAAANGTATTCACTATTCGGAGGTTAGATTTCCTTCCTTGTTATTCTCTTGAATAGGTGATGATTGAATAGGTTATTTCGGGTTTTAGTTGAGTGTGGGTAGGCGCTCGAAAGCCGCTACTTTCCAGTTGACTATAGTCAACTGGAACCCATGCGGTTACACGCACGTATCATATAAAAAATTATCATTCAAAATTGATCGGTACAAATTGAATTGTTATTATTATTATTATTTTATTAATTGAATTATTCACCACAAAAGAATCTTGAATTTGAAGAATTTGGCCCTAGAATTACGTTTTTTTTT